ATCTTGATCGGGCGCTAATCTCAAAGCAAAATCAAGTTGAAAACTTCAAAAATTAGTTCGGATACCATCTGAACTCCGATTTCAACAAACTTACAGTCGATCTGAGTGTCTCAGAAATATGAATCCAATGACTCCAAATTTGACTCAATCCGAGTCCAAATGAGTCCAAATCAAGGACCTGAAGCGCTGTTGGAAGCTTCATAATACTATTTGAGTTACCAAACGGTCTCCGATTTTTACGAACTTATACTCGAATCGAATGGCTCGACGAGACAAATCCAACGAGCCCAAGATCTCCGAATTCCGACATCTCTAAAACCTTCAAATGTCCAACAAACGGTGCACGATCGTAGTATTCAAGATCGACCGTCCATTCAACCACTCCCAACTAACCCTTGATCCTCCCCTGTGCTCCACCGGACCATCGCCTAACGCCGTCACTTCACCGGACCACTACCTGACGCCCTGTGCTCCACCGAATCATCACCTAACGCCGTCACTCCGCCGGATCATCACCTGACGCTCTACGCTCTGCCAGTCTTTCACTTGAAGCTCTCATCTTTGCCAGGCCATCATTGAAGATTCTCACATTTGCTAGACCTTCATCTAAGGCCCGAAGTTTTTGCCTTATCATCATCTAAGGCCTGAAGTCTTGCCAGACCATTACTCGACACTCGGACTTCTATTGTACAATTGCTACTTGTAATCTGATCGTCCTTAGAGACGAATCAGCCCATTGTAACCAACTCAAGTTCTAGTGAAATCTTTTCAACTGGACTAGGCCCCATGGTTTTTACCCTTTCAAGGGTTTTCCACGTAAAAAAATTTTGTGTTCTCTGTGTGTGAACTAGATATCCGTATAACACTAAGACGAACAATTAAAACTATATTGCCGCGTATTCTAGTCTGCAACACCCCCTAATCCGTTGGTTAATTAATCCTCTAATCAAATTATTTTGTAATCATCATTGTTTTTTGATCCCTGTCTTGTATTCCTCTAATAATTCATCGTGTTCCTTTGGGCTCTGAGTCCCTAGTGGAGGTGCCTATAACTGTCATGTCACCCAAATGGCTTACATACTCTTTTTGTCTCTAATTTAGGGGTTACTTGCCTGGGCAATCGGTTTGGCATGATGGGTATCCATCACCGTCGGGTGAGGGGGTGAGGATTTGTATGTTGAACAAGTTGACTCTCTCAAGGAATTGTATGGGTTAGATGTTTGTAAAGTTACGGAGAAAGTACTTTCTCGTGGCAGTAAGCGTTGTAGGAGGAAATCTATAAGGTAGTTATGTGTTTTTTTCGTTGTGGTCTTGGTGGCTTTGATGTTGGGTCACTTGTTTGGTGGTGGGTTATGGTTGTTGGTTTCCTCACTTGCTCTTTGTTTTTTATTGTCCTTGCAGGTGTTTATTCCCTTTTGTCTCGGGCATATTGGCTCTTCTTGGCGGAGACCATTCACTGAACTCTGTTTTGCTTGTGGGATCGTTTGCCTGTGTTTTGGCACGGTGTTGGTGCTTTTGTCGCTGTTGTTGCTGCAGATGGAGCATTTTGGTGGATCGGATGCTAGATGCTCTTAGGCTCCTATTGTTGTTTTTTTCTTTAGATTTTGTTTTGGTATGTTTTGTGTATTTAGTTGGTTCTCGTGGATCATAGGTTTTCCTTCAATTGTTGTATTTCTAGAGGGCTTGGAAGCCTTTAAAGACTTGTAACCCTTTTTTTATATTAATGCGTAGGACCGTTACGTGGGATTTCTCCAAAAAAAAAATAAAATTCTTTCACTAAGAACCAATTGAGTCAATTAACGAAATAATGCATGTTGATGCAAATATCCGGGACTTGAGCAATATAAATTATGCCGAGTGCTTGTTGGATGTTGATATTGGGAAGGTAGGAAGGATTGAAGGAAGGATATTAGGAGGATTTGAGGATTTTGTTCAACTGTTGAGGTATTTATGTTTCTAATTAAAGTTTTTTTAGTGAAATTATTTATAGAAGATTTAAATGATATTAAATTTTATTATTTCTGCTTTTGAGAGATCCAGAAGAATTTATATGAATGATGTTGTGCATTTGAAAGTAGCTTCTTCTAACACATGTACTTAGGAGTAGTTGGTCATTTTTATTTAGTGTATTATTTTATGTTATTTAGGATCGATATAGTAGTGATACGTCCTCAAAAATTGTTTTGATCAAACACGAATCTCGAGGCATATTCAAGTTGGAAATTTTCAAAATTAAATTTGGGATAATCTGAATTCCAATTTCAACAAACTTATAGTCAAACTGAACATCTCAAATAGACGAACCAAACAACATCAAAATTGGTCAAAACCCAAGCCCAAATGAGTTCGAATCAGGGGCCCGGACCACATTTGGAAGGATCAAAGTATTATTTGAACGATAAAATGATATTCAAATATGACATGCTTATAGTTAAATCGAGCGGCTCGGCGAGACGAATCCAACGAGCCCAATATCTCTGAATTTTTACATCGTTAAGGCACTTAAACAGTTGAAAAACTCTCTACGATTGGGGGAATTAATATGAGCCATCCGATGGAGCACTCCGAACCAACCTCATATCTTCTCTAAAATTACGGGGTGTGCCACTCATGAAAATCTATAAATAGACCCCCACTTTATATATGAAGGGGACCTTTTGCTGGAGATTGGGAAGAGCTCTGAGGTTTCAAGAGCTCTAGCTCTACCACCCGATCGCCGACCGCCGCTGGACCACCGCCAGACCGCCGACCGTCGTCGGACTTGATCAGCTCGACCTTCGTCGAACCTCCGCCCGAGCCGCCAACCACCGCCTGACTTCATCCTAACCTTCGTCGGACCACCGCCTGGCCGCTAACTACTGCCGGACTTCAGTCCGACCTTCGTCGAACCACCAACCGCCGCCGGACTTTAGCCCGACCTTCGTCGGACTTTCTCCCAGCCGCCATCCGTCGTCTGCTGCCGGACCTCAGCCTGACTTGCTTATAAATTTATACAGTATAAAAAATCATTTGATTAAGTATGAAATTCGAAGCAAATTTTATGAATTGAATCATGATGTTTGGGCAATAAACTTCAAATTTTTTTTCTATTATCATCATAATTTTTTAAACCAAATTTATAGTAGAAATAATATAGTTGAATGAGATGAATCTAATATTAAGAACCTTTTAATTCGACTTCATATATATTATCTTAATTTGAGCACTCAGGAGCCTGATAAAAAAAATTATTGACAATGTTCTAAGTTTATGTGCCCTTGAAATAAACATTTCAATGAGAAAATTCACCAAAGTCTAAGGCTGATGCATTCTAAATTTATCTAGGGTTTGTTTGATTGTGTGAAAAAGTAATGTAATGTAAAAATAATATTTTTGAGTTGTTTGGATGATTGTAAAATGAATGTAAGAGATTCTTTTTTTACTTTAGTTTGAAGTTAAATGAATGCAATATAAAGTTCAAAAAAGCAGTGGTCAGTGTGGTGGGTGGCCTATAATGGTGGTGGCCTACGGTGGTGGTGCCCGCCACTGATGGTGACTGGCGGTGGCGGAGACCGATAGCAGTGGGGTGGTTTGATGATAGTGGCGGCTAGCAGTGGTGAGTGCTCGGTAATGCATGGTGATGGTTGGTGTCGGTGGGTGGCTTGGTGCCTATGGAGCTCGATGGCGTCGGTGGTCGGTGATGCTGGCAGGCAGTGATCGACAGCCTGCACTTGGGGTGACAATGTTCCTCTCCCCCATAAGGAGAAATTATTCTATGCGGGTACCGAATTGTCTGGAGGCGAAACAAAATATGTCATGTTATCCGGTACATGACGGTATACAACAAAGTTTAGAATCATCATTTATCGGAGGAAGTTGAGGCGAGACCGGAGTGATTGGACCCAGTTATTTTTGCAACAAACTAACATGAAATATTTCATGGACTTGAGAACATGCAGGAAGATCCAATTTATACGCCACTGCACCCATTTTTAAATAACTAGTATAATTATACATGTATTAAATACAGAGCGATAGAATTCAAATAATTAAGTAATATTATAAAATTGCAAATATTAATTAATTAATTTGAAAAAAATTATAAGGAGATGTAATAAATAAATTTATGATTACAAGTAATCTTAACAGCACTTAGATTCCTAATTTAAAACAAATACATTTAAGATTTTAATAAAATAACAATAAAAAATGTGGGATTAAGACAAAGTTAATAACACTGTGAAAACTTTGCATTGGAATATTCTAAAAAAATGATAATGATTGAATTTGATGATTTTAGATGTGTTTTTATTGGAGTGTAATATATAAATAATGTATATTATATCCATCTTAAAAAATATTTAAGAACTTTAATATTAATCATAATAAAAAATTTAGTAGAAGTATCGTGTCTAGGGGTGTCAATTCGGGTCAACGGGTCGGGTTCGGGTCGAACCCGGAACTGACCCGACACTGTTCGGGTCAACCCGAACCCGACTCGTTTTTAAAAACGGGTCAGGTTTCTTTTTAATATGTTTAGAAGATATGTAAATCAATGTCTGATCATAAAACAATAATAATAATAATAACAATAATTTTATTTAAATAAAATATGTTGAATATATCAATAAATGAAACGCTGTCATTGTTGGGTTCCAAGTCCTGTATGAGAAAAGTGGAGGGTTATGTTAGATAGTCGACAATCAATATGAAACTCTTCGAATAATCATGACATGAATCATATAATAATTGTGTTAAGGTTAGAGCGTTCCTTGAAAGCGATATGTTGTATGACTTGAATACACTAAAAAAATTAGCGTCGATCAATTTTTTTAAGATTCTTATTTAAAAAATGGTCAATAAAAATTAGCTCATAATTAATTATTTAAAATATTTTAAAATAAATTTAATAAAATTATTTATTTTAGTATATAACAAAATTCATTTTAAAATAAATTTAAGAAATTTATGAATCGCACTTCTGAAGAATTGATTGTATTCCGAAGTCCCGAACATGCATAAGTAGTCCATGTCATGCCCACCCACATCGGCCTTAAAATTGGCGGGAAAGCTCCGATGCCATCACTCTCGCGACTCGAGCCCTCGACACACTCCCGTCTATCTTCTCTCTGCCACCGCGCTATCACAATATTTCTCTTCGGCCCTTCCAGTCCCTCGCAATGGAATCAATTCTGAAGGTAAGGGTTTCGAAGAAATCTGTTTGGGGATTCTTTCTTTATTTCGTTGTTTTGAAGTTTGATTTATATTGAAATTAATGAGAGCATGACAAGCCCTCTCTTTTCGTCGTGCTATGGCAGCATAATTTTGGTTATTCCCAGTTTCGTCCATCTCAGAAGGAGATCATACAGAAAGTTCTAGAGGGAACAGATTGCTTGGTGGTTATGGCTACTGGAGGTGGAAAATCGCTATGGTATGTGAGATTTTCGCTCGCCCTGGCTCATATTTGCTGCCCAATTATCGACAAACTTCGTCGTCTTTTATTGCCAAAAAAAGTGAACAAAATCTGATTTTGCAACTATGAAGATTCTATTTGACATATTTTGTAAATGATATGACGACTGATTCATTCTTTGATGCATGTGTCCTATGAAACCGTTTACTTATTATTAGGGCAGATGGATTTTATTTTTGTGGGAAGGGTGAGCGCTCGCTTTTCTTTCCTTCAGTTGCTGTTACCCATTTCACATATCTAGCAATCAATAAACTGAAAAGGAAGGGTTTTGTTTCTGTGAAAAATTTTCAATTCCTTTTTTGGACGTTGCTATAGAAATTTTTAATTTGAAACATGTTAATTAGGAAGTTGGGTGATGTAGAATGGTGCTCGGGAAGATGGTTTATTACTCAGGGGAGCATGAGGGGTACTCCTTTAAGCAATATAGACCTGCGATGTCGAATAATATCATGTTGAAGTGAAAGATAATAGAACAGAGGAGAGAAACAAAGAATAAAGAGGAAAATGAATTGTATTGAATGAATTCAATCTGTGTACAGCTGATGTATATATAGAGGTTAAACTAACTAGAGAATACAAAGAGTGAATGAGAAAATGACATGCGTATGTGAGCTAACAGGCCCCCTCAAATTAAACAGTCATGCGTTGAATGGTTAATTTGAAGCGAAGGTCTTCAAATCTAGTAAGCGGAAGTGGTTTGGTAAGGATATCTGCAATTTGACCTGTCGAGTTGATATGCGAGATGGAGATAGCGTTTGCTGTCATGTGTTCTCGAGTGAAATGAAAGTCAATTTCAATGTGCTTTGTACGGGCATGAAAGACCAGGTTATTGGCAATGACAATTGCGGAGGTGTTGTCGCAAGATATGTTCGTGGGTCCTTGTTGAGGAATTTTAAGTTCTGCTATGAGTTGTCGAAGCCAAAGAACATCTGCGGTGGCTGAGGATAGAGATCTGTATCCAGCTTCAGTGGTGGACTTGGCGACTGTAGCTTGTTTCTTGACCAACCAAGAGATGAAATTCTTGCCAAGGAATGTGCAATGTCCGGATATAGATTTTCTGTCTTGTGAGTCTGTTGCCCAATCAGCGTCCGTGTACGATCAAAGCTGCAGATCTCCAATTGTTAGTGGTAAATCAAAATGAGATGTACCTTTGATGTATCGTAGAAGCCGTTTGAGAATTTGAAAGTCCTGATTAGTCGAAGAGTGCATGTGCTGACATATGTAGTTTGTGGCGAAGGCGATGTCGGGTCTGGTGATAGCTAGATACTGCAGTGATCCCGCTAGTTTGTGATAATTTTGCGGATCGGAGTAAAGCTGATTTGAGATGTTGGAGGCTGTGGATTTGGGTGTGATTGGCATTGGCGCTGGTTTAAAGTCAACAAATCCGGCATTTTGAAGAATTGTGTTGGCATAGTGTTGTTGGCTGAGGAAGAAGCCGTTTGGATTGCGGGTAATCTGGATACCGAGAAACACTAAAGCTTCGCCCAATTGTTTGAGTTTAAAGTTGGATTGCAGTCGCTCTAAGAGTCATTGAATTGTGAATGAATCATCGCCTATAATTAAAATATCATCAACGTAAATTAAAATATATAGTTCAATATTGTCGTGGTGATATAAAAGAAGAGAGGGATCAGAACGACTAAACTCGAATCCGAATTGTTGTAGAAAATTGGTGAGTTTGTGAAACCAATGGAGAGGAGCTTGCTTGAGTCCGTATAATGATTTGCGAAGTTTGCATACGTGGTTGGGGAATTGAGTGTCGGCAAATCCGGGTGGCTATTTCATGTATATTTCTTCATTAAGGTCACCGTGCAAAAATGCGTATGCCACGTCCAATTGTTTGACTGACCATTGTCTGTGAAGGGCCAAAGTTAGAAGAATTCGAATGGTAGGCATTTTTTGTGACTGGACTGAAGGTTTCATTATAGTTTATTCCACATTGTTGAGTGTAGCCCTGAGCCACTAGTCTAGCTTTATACCGATCAATGTGACCGTTGGGAAGAGTTTTAATGCGAAAGGTCCATTTACAGCCCAAGATTGGTTGGTCCGGTGGTGGGGGGACTAGTGACCAGGTGCCCTGTTGCTGTAATGCCAAAAATTCGGACGACATGGCAGATCACCATTGGGTTAATTTGGCAGCTTGGGAGTAAGTAGTGGGAATGGAGGGATTGTGTTGAGTTATGAATAGATCAAGAATTCGCTTGGGTTTGGTTATGCCTGACTTTGATCCAGTTTGCATCTGATGACTTGGAATGGAAGTTGGAATATTATTGGATGGAGCAGATATAATGGAAGAAGAAGATGTGAAGGTATGAGGGAGAGATGGTAATGTAGAGATAGGATCAGTAGTTATAGATGTTGAGGGAATATGAGAGGTAGAGATAGAGGTTGGGATAAGAAGGAGAGGGGAAACAGGAGTTGGAGTGGAATTTGTAGAAGTGACGGTATGAGAGGATTTGAAAGGAAAGTCTTGTTCATGAAAGACCACATGCCTTGAGATGTGAATTTGATTTGTGGAAGTGTTGAGACAGCGATAACCCTTGTGAGATGAAGAGTAGCCTAAGAATATGTAGGCTTGAGAGCGAGGTGATAATTTGTTGGGAGCGTAAGGCTGAAGCCACGGAAAGCATAAGCAGCCGAAGGTGCGGAGATGCTTGTAATTGGGCAGTTTTCCATGGAGTTTTTGATGATGAATTTGAAGTGAGATAGATTTGGAGGTAAGGTGGTTTATAAGATAGTTTGATGTGGTGATGGCTTCAGCCCAAAAGGATGTGGGAAGACCCGAGGTGTGGAGGAGGGGTATGGGATGTGTCGAGCAAATGACGATGCTTTCTTTCCGCGATTCCGTTTTGCTCAGGAGTATGAGGGCGGCTGATTTGATGATTAATGCCGTGAGACTGAAGGAATTCTTTGAATAGGTTGCTGGTGTATTCGCCGACTCCATCGGAGCGGAACGTTTGAGGTATTGCATGAAACTTATTTTTGATAAGTAGACAAATTTTTAAAGTGAGTGAAGGTTTCTTGTTTGGTATGCATAAGAAACAACCATGAAAATCTGGTAAAGTTGTCAATGAAGATAACATAAAATTTTTATTCATTTAAAGAGGATTGCGGAGTAGGACCCCAAACGTCAGAGTGAATAATTTGAAATGGACGAGAGGAAACTGAAATGCTTTTATTGAAAGGTAATTTGTGACTTTTAGCCACATTACAAGAAATGCAAACATAAACATATAAAGGACTACGCAAATCTTGAATATAAGGAGCTAAATAAGATAAAATACTGTGATGAGGATGGCCTAGCCGAGAGTGCCAGACAGAGGAGGAAACCATGGATTCTTGAAGAGCAGTTTTAGTCGTGGGAACCATGGTGGATATCTGATATAGGCCGTCATAAAGATGACCACGAAGGAGTGGATTATTGTCCTGAAGATTCGTAATGATGAAGCCGTTAGCATTAAAAGAAATGGAAACTTGATTATCATTGGTCAATTTAGAGATGGAAAGAAGATTGTGTTTTAAGGAAGGAACATGTAAAAGGTTATGAAGATATAGCTTATGAGCCGAATCTGGTAGAGGTAGAATTCCTTGTCCGGTGTTGTGGATCGGAATAGTTGAGCCTTTAGCAATGGAAACGGAATCGGCACCGGTGTAGGGGGATGAGTGCTGTAGATTGGCAAGATCGTGAGTTAGATGAGTAGAAGCTCCGGTATCAAGGATCCAATCATGAGATTGTGTGGAGTATTGTTGTGTAATCATGGCACGAGGTGTCCAAGAAGTTGTTGGCTTGTATTTGGAGTTGCATCTATGCTAACAGTTGAGGGCAGAATGCCCGATTTTTCCACATATTTGGCAGATTGGGCGAGTGGCATTGTTGCTAGACGTTTGCGGAGAGGAGTTTTGCCCAGGTGGATGGGAGTTGAAGTTGCGGCAAGGTTGTCTAGAGGAGCCGCGGTTCTTTGAGTTGGATGTACGATTTGAGTATAAAGCTGTCTGGTCGGAGCTGGGATTGGATTCCTTGAGTTTTTCATTGTGTATGTTGATCTCTTCGTTGCAAAGAAGTGAGTAAAGAACGTCGAGATCGATAGGATGCAACGATGTTCTGATGGCAGTCTTGAATGAGTTGTAGGCGGAGGGGAGACCATTGAGAATATAGATGATGATGTCTTCAGTGTCAATCTTGGAGCCGGCTGCGGCGATGTGGTCAACAATGGTTTTGATTTTAGCTAGATATTGTTGCATCAAACACTCTTTCATCTGAACGTTATGGAGTTCTTGCTTGAGTTGGATCACCCTAGAGCAATTTGTAGGTTGTAATCGGCGTTCAAGAACTACCCAAATTTTGTGAGCAGTGGAGAGAAATTGAACGTATGGGAGGATGGAAGGGGAGATAGTGGAAATAAGTGCGGAAACAAGATTCCGATCGATTAATTGCCAAAGATTGTAATCAGATTTGGATGGATCGGTAGGTGGAGTGTTTGTGCCGGCTAGATGACCGGCGAATCCATTAGCAGTGAAGTGTTGAAGGAGTTGAAGACGCCAAATGGCATAGGTGTCGGTCGTAAGTTGAGTAGGAATCAAATTCTTGAGGTTTGAGATCAAGAATTTGAGGGGAGCCGGCACAATGTACTCGGAGAGGGCGGTGGAGAGATCAGACGTTTGCGTTTGTGATGTTGCTGAGCTTTGGTCCGCCATAGGTTGGAGGGGTGAAATAGATACATGATTTGACCAATAGGAGCAGATTTGCGAAGGTTTCAACAACCCGAGAAAGGAGAAGGAGAGTATTGTAGGAGATTCTTGATAGATGAGTGGATACCGAAATAAGAGGGAGAGAGATATTGCGGACTGGAAGCCGTGAGAAAGAATGAAGAGGCAGAGAAGTCGTGAGAGGATGGGAATCTTCACTTCGTGAGGGGTGGAGAACGGAGGAGCAATAGAGGCGCAAGAACGGTGCAGGATCGGAGGAGGAAGATCAATGACAGCGGTGCATCTTGAGAGAGGATGTGATCTTCTTGAGTGAGATGGGATGGATAAGGCAGCTCAGTGTTCAGTCCTGGAAGTGGAGACGGGTGGAAGCAATGCTTGGGCCTTGCAATTGCACGTGAGAGAGGGAGGCAGAGAGATAGGGCCTTCCGGCTGGGCGTCTTCGAACAAGAGGAGCAAGAACGGTGCGAGTCGAGTTCTATGATACCATGAAAGATAATAGAACAGAGGAGAGAAACAGAGAATAAAGAGGAAAATGAATTTTATTGAATGAATTCAATATGTGTACAGCTGATGTATATATAGAGGTTAAACTAACTAGAGAATACAAAGAGCGAATGAGAAAATGACATGTGTACATATATTTGAGCTAACATGTAGTTCTGAATGTCATGAATGAAGGCGACAAATTGAATTTGTGATGGTTGGATTGATGGGAACAATAATTGTTGCTCGTATTTGGGGCCTCAGACAATGGTGATGATGCCTTGCCATTTTGTTATTGATGTATTTCTATCCTTGAAAGCAATTGTTTTTTGCAAATGGATATCAAAATTAAGGTATATGGAGGTCACAATGATTATGGGATGTTAGAAACTTATCAACAAATTTTCATAATAACAAGTACACTTCAAATCATCGGACAATGCAGATGTGATGTTCTTAGCGAGAGCGAGCCATGAAATCATTTTTGTAGACCCCAAGCAACTAGAGGTGCAGCAGGTCGCCAGCTATTGACTTCTTCTACATGCATGGGTATGGACCTTATGTGAAGAAGGGCTGGTCAAGTGGGTTTGATCTCACATGGTTTGGTTCAGGATGGTCTGTATAGCTATGAATCACACAATCTTGGCTTCCACTGGTTCGTCTCAATAACCTGAACTGGTTGATTGGGATTTCACAGTGTTCCAGGCTTGTTTGGTTTTTGATTTAATTTTTTAAGAATTGACTTCAACATTGGTTTGACTTTGAATTGTCTTAGGACTTGTGCATCACTTGGTAACTGTGATTAATCAAATATAGATTTTGCAAATACCAACACTGGTTAGATGTGGAATTTACATAGCTTTGGAAGAGTGTGTGTCTATGGTAGTGATATCTTGTATTCATGTAAGCTTTCTGTTTCATTTACCACTTTACACAGCAAATTAGGAATTTAATAGAAGTTAATTACTTTTGTAAAATCCCTGTGCCCTAGCTACCAGGTTCCTCCTCTTGTGACTGGAAAGACTGCGGTAGTCATAAGCCCTCTTCTATCCTTGATGCAAGATCAGGTACACACTGTTCTTCTATACTCTTTTATAGCCGTGCAAATTGTGTTTCTGAAGCTACTCTGGTTAACAGGTCATGGCTCTTAAACAACGTGGTATAAAAGCTGAGCATCTTGGAAGTAGTCAAACAGATAAGGATGCTTATTCTCAAGCTGAGAGGGGCGTTTTTGATGTACTATACATGACTCCTGAGAAGGCTTGCTTGCTTCCCACAAGGTTAAAGCCTGATAAGATGCAAAATTTAGTGCATTAACTCCTTACTATTGGCTCTTTTAATCATTGGATCTTTGCATTTTGTTATTGTTAAAAATTGGAGGCTAACTCTGTCATATTGATGCTTTGTGCTTATTAATTTTGAATAGCTTTCTTCTTAAAAGAATATACCAGCTTCTATTTGGCATGACCTTGGATGTTTTTCCTCAGTGTACAAATTAGGAATAGATATCGATATGTGCTCGTGCAGCATTATAATTTTATGCTTAAAAGTCTATGCCTTCAAAGTTTTCCTCTTTGTATTTATAGCATTGCAAATCTGTTTGTGTCAGTAATAAAACAAGAGGACAAAACGACTATTTTCTATGGTCTTTTCTATTCTCTTAACTAAAAAAAAAGAAGATACAAATAAACATGTTGTCTTGTCTTCTTTTTTTTCCTAACTGGTGATGACAGAGCCATTCTATATGATGTTTATTCTAACTTGATTTCTTTGTTCATTTTTTATTTTGTTAAATTTTGACTTTTTTTTTCCCTTTGTTGTTTAGATTTTGGAGTAACCTGCTGAATTCTGGGATCTGCTTGTTAGCTGTCGATGAAGCACACTGCATATCAGAATGGGGTCATGATTTCAGGTTGCCGTTTCTTTTTAATTTTTACTGAACCTACTCACATTTTTCATGTAATTCCTAACTAATTAGTTGGCTTTTCCCTTGGAGCTTTGATGAATACCAAAAATTGTCAGCATTGAGAGAAGTGACTCTAAAATCTTAAATGATTTAATAGCGAAGGAGACATCAAGTCAACTATATTGGTAGATTTTGCACTAGAGGTCAACATATTTGCTTTTGGAAACCAATTTCATTTGTTTCAAGGAGTTAAAATAATTTTTCATCTCATGTGTTGAAATGGGTCTTGTATGTATTCTGGGTATATTATTGATCCAATCTCTTCCTCATCTTGAACATATGGATAAATTTGGTATTTTATCTGCCATGGAGCTCGTATTGAAGAAAAGTTTTGGAAGCAAAATCATGCCATTACCAAAATAAACCATTTTATTTTCAACCGCAAAAATGATGACATCTATCCTTGGCACTCCAACATAAATAGTTCTCTGTAGCTCCACATTGGTAGCAGCAAAAACTGGAATCTGCACTGGGATTTGATAAATTGCCCAAAACTGATATTTTGTCTAGCTTGCACTGAAGATACAAATGAATTAGTTATAATTTAAAAGTTTTCCAGAGCTGATCTTGAGCTTTTGATTGATCAAAATCTTTGATGAAGTTGTCTCAAGGTGGGATCAGCATTAAACAAGGCAAGCTCAACATCCATGCCTATGAATGCATGCGCAAACGTCAAGCTTGTATCTACGAATGAATATATGTATTTCGCTTTTTTGGTATTGAAGTGATCATCTCAAGTTTCGCCTCTATTGCATGCTTTAGTTGATAAGTTTGTACACTGGATTTAGGAAGTTGCTATTTTATCTTGCTGTATTAGTTTCTGTTAATATAAGCTGTAGATGGAAGGCGGTCGAATAAATGCAGAATCCCGAATTCCTCTAAATCACTCACAAATTTAGGTGGGATTCCTTCTAGTCATCCACTAATCTTGGAATAGTTTTATGTTATATCTCTCTCTCTCTCTCTCTCTATATATATATATATATATATATATATATAATAGCACATTATTGTTATTATTTTTAGAATAAGAGTATATTTTGTTTCCTTGTATGTCTATTGCATCCATTATCATAAATAGTGTGTAGCCTATATCACAACAATGAGAAAAATAGAAGATTTTGTTTTTCATGTTATCAGAGCAAGGCTCACTACATTTTCTTTGTATTTGAAAATCCTATAATGACTCTACTCTTATCTTGGGTTTCCTTAATAAAGAGAGACATACCTTTGTCATCCACCGCAAAATCGCCAAATAGATCTTGAAATCGTGCCTAGCAAATCTTTTGACTTTGACTTTGACATCAACCTTGACCTTGCCTGTGACTACTGCTTTTATTCGCAAGTATTGGCTCCCAATCTCCCAAATTGCTTTATCCTTTCTGCATCTACCTAGAAGGAATTCATCTCAATCTACCTTATATACTCCCAAATTCCCTCTTGGCCATACTTGTATACAAGCTCTTGTTCGCACAAAAATGTGCTCACTTGAATGCCTGTGCATCTACTCGACCTACTTTCATGAATGCATGGCCGAGGAAGCTCGACTCTGTTGACCCGCTTACTGTAGCAAACAGAAACGAAAAAAAAAAATGTTACGTACCTCTATGGACGCCGCCCTAACATGATTCAACGCGGCCATGATTTCTGCGATCTCGTCGTCCTCTTACACGACCAATGTCACCTCACACAAGATCGGGTCTTGGCATTAAAATGAGACCGAGCTCTCATTCCCGGTCTCTGGCTCTCCCGCGCTCACTCTCCGATCTCTCATCTCTCCCTTCCCGTGGCTTCTTTTGCTCCTTCGTACTGCTTGATTGTGCTTCGACGACGACGTGCCCTTCGAGTCGGATTGGAGGTTACGACACTTTGAGTGGAAGCAACATCGCTCCTTCGGCTCCTTAGGCGCTGTCCGGCTCCTCTCTTGGAACAACTTTCCCTACCTGCTGAATCGAAAGTCACGACGCTTTGGTCGGAACCGGCAAGGAAACTCGTTTCTTCTCCCGTTCCTTCCCAGTTGCTCGGCTTCGTGACTTCAACGACTTCCCCTCCCGACCGGACCGTAAGCTACGACATTTTAATCGGAAGAAGAGACGGGAGTGTTGGCTCAAGAAAAATGGCACGAATGCACGAATCCTGCTTTGCAGCTGTAGGATTCCATTTCCCTTAAGTCAGATTGTAATTAACCAGATTTTTCCTGAAGGTAGTGTCAGGGTTTAGAGATCTGGGGTTCTTACTTCCTATGAGCGCAAGCACTCATAGTTAATTACCCATCTTAACACGTAAGAGAGAACTCTCGATTAAGGATGAATATATTTTAGGTATTTTTAGTCTCAAATGGTGGGAAGATGGAGGTAAACCCGATCAAGATCCCATGGTTCCGTCGTCCCGGGTATACCATAGATTTCAATCTACCAACACTAACAATCATTGACTATAGTGTCCAAGGAATCTGATTAGCAGCCATGGGTTGCCTCCTCTCAGGGATCCCGAGTAGATTGAAGTGCTTAGATGTTGATTTTAGTTTTAATTTAATTTGAGTTGGGGCTTACTACTTCTTTAAAGGTTGCCCATTAATTTGTTTAGTTTGGGGCTTACGGCTCCAATTAGGAGTTGCCCGTTAATTTTGGTTGGATAGGTCTTATGGCTTCCTTAGAAGTTGCCTAACGGTGGGTCTTACGACCTAGCCCTGTAAGCTAAGCGGCCCAAGTTGTGGGTCTTACAACATAGTCCTTTAGACTAGGATGCCCAAGAATTTTAATTGTTTGTGTAGGACTTATGGCTTCCCTTAGGAAGTAGCCTGAAAAGCGGGTCTTACAACTTAATCGCTTTAGACTAAGATGCCCATAGGTTTAAATTTGATTGTTTGAGGTTTAGGATCATTGCTATTTATTTTTACAATTTTCCTAAAATGTGGGGCTTACGACTTCAGTAAGAAGTTGCCCGAAAGCGGGTCTTACAACCTAATCCTATAGACTAGGATAACCAAGTGAGGGGTCTAGGTTTATATTATCACCTAAACACTTCCCTCAGATGTCATACGTACGGCTTCTATTAGAAGTGGCCTGGTTTTTAATTGGGTTTAGGGGTTAGGTCAATTTTACCTAAAACTTTCCCCTAAAATCGGGATTACTACTTTCTTACGAAAGTTGTTGAATAATGGGTCTTACAACCTAATTCTTATAAATCAGGCTGCCCAAAGATTTTGAATTTGATTGTTTGTTTGTAGGTATTCGTAGCCAGTGGTTGCAGTAGTTGAGGCTTATAGTTGCAAAAGATAGAGCCCACAAGTAGCTATAGAAGCTTGTACAAGAGAGCTTTGGAGAGCAGTTTGTAGAGTTCAGTTTGAGAATTTTGATAGAGCAATTTGTACAAGAGATTTGAGGAGTTGGCAATCAAAGTTATACATGTCATTTAGAGAAAACTTCTCTTCCTCCCTTTTTTTATTTACTGCATTTTTATTTTATGATTTTCTCATTTGATTAATCAAATAATCAATCAATAAACCAACTCTAAATTTCATTGGTCTCAAAACTTTTTAAATAACTCTCGGGTTTTAAAACTTTTAGAATTTAAAACTCTCTCAAATTTGAAATGCTCTTATATATTTAAAAAGCTCCTGAATTTTATATAATTAAATTAGTTTTGAAATAATTTATCACGATTTTTGCTACCTCAATAATTAGAGGGAGAGAGATGATGTTTTGAAGATTAGAGACCTCAAATATTTCAAGGAAAAATAGTATTTGAAATGCCAAAACAATTCAATGTCTTTTATTCAGTTTTACTTGTATTGGAATTTTTTTTTTTTTTTAAAAGATGTCTCATTTAGAGACATTCAAACGATACTTATCGACACGGATTTCTACCCCCACGGCTGCTAACTCAGAGTCGCGTATAGGGGATGCCCCACCGGCCAAGTCGTTAAGGCACTCGCGTCGAGGGTAGCGGGGATAATTTTAAGTTAGAAGTTTATCAACCTTGGGCCCGACGATGTCCGCGCACGAAGGCTTCGATGGCATCGAGGCAAAGAGGATTCTTCTTCATGATAGGCGCTTTTATTCCACTTTTCTTATTTAAATTATTAATAAGTTGACGCGTGTTAATTCTCAAAAAGGGACATTATAATCATATACGCTGTATGGTGGCCGCTCTCCGATCCCCTAATTATACCACTCTAATCACACACACACTCACTCTTACACACACACTACACACACACACCCATTAATTTAAGATAATTAATGAATAGTTTATTAAAATTGGTTGTGTAATGGTAAAAGATACACTTAAGCATCATATAATTAATCCTAATTAAATTAATAGTACTTAATCAAGGATAATTGGAATATCCTTAGTAAATCACTCGGAATTAATTAAAAATGTAATTTTATATTAAGTATTATGGTGGCTAAGTAATTAATTCACGCATGTGTAATCAATAATAATTTAAATTACAATAGTTAACTGGCTAATATAATTAAAAATATATATAATTAAGCTATTAGACATTAAAGATAGAGATTAATTCGATACTTTATTTTTATCCCCATTTTATTTGCTCTTCAATACCCTTATAATGCCGGCGAGGCGGGTGTTACGGGTTACTTTGGACCGTAACACGAGAACGCATAACGACCGTATGACACGCAGACAGGCGATAAAAGTTACTTACACCATTTGTCAACTGAAGATTGGAAGCTTGTCTCGAATCTTCTCTTTTGCTTCTTCCGATCCATAGTGCGGGTACGCAAAGTCAGCAAATCTTTCCGACAAAGTTTGAAAGAGAAATCGATCCTCACAAGGCACGGTTCCATTAGAAACTAGGACGAGGAATTAGAAAGCTCGAACCGGTTATTCAATACTAGTTGCAAAGGATTGAACACAGGACGAAAGTATATATGAAGCAAATTCGAAAGGAGATGGAATAGAGGTTTATCGTTAAA